AAGGAAGGAAGGAAGGAAGGAAGGAAGGAAGGAAGGAAGGAAGGAAGGAAGGAAGGAAGGGAGGGAGGAAGGATGGGAGGGAGGGAGGGAGGAAGGAAGGAAGGAAGGAAGGGAGGGAGGATGGGAGGGAGGGAGGGAGGGAGGGAGGAAGGAAGGAAGGAAGGAAGGAAGGAAGGGGCACACACTTAAATATTTGTACACCGCTTCAGTGCTTTTACAAGCCCTAAGCGGTTTACAGAGTCAGCCTATTGCTCCAAACAATCTGCACCCTCATTTTACCAACCTCGGAAGGATGGAAGGCTGAGTCAACCTTGATATAGAACAGACTCACGTTTCCTTGATGCTATCATGCAGTCTTGCTGGCTAAAACGTTCAGGGTTTGGTTCAACTGTAGATCGGTTACAGGATAAAGATAACTCATTATTGGACAAACGGCATTAAAACAGATGAGCAAAACAACACCCGGAGCCATTAGTCTTCGTTTCCAGCGCATGGACTTTAATGTGCCATTATTTCGATCCCATCATGAATTTTATTTTATTCTTATTCTTATATTTTATTCTTTTAAAGGCTTTTCTTCAGGATGGTCTCTCTCTCCAGATTGGTCTGCGGGTCTTTCAAAGATACATGCGTGGGGTATATGCATCGGATTCGTCCGATTTGCTGCCGTTTCTCTTTCCTTTCACTTTTTCCGCAGAGGTGGATCTTCGCACTTGTCTTTAGTAAGACGAGCCGGATCCTCTTTTCCTCAAATGAAGAGCGCTGGCTTGTCTCCGATGATCCATCGGCTTTCTTGGCTAGGGAGGACGACGTGATGTTCTCGGGAGAATTCTTCACCAAAGTTCAAAAGCATCGGTACAATGTGCCATTGTCGGCAAACTTGTAAACTTACCCACTACTCCAAACAAGTTTTCCAGACAACCTAGGACTTACAAAGCCCCACACTTATCATGGAAGTCAGATGGCTGGGTAATTCTTACCCGATTTGGAGAACACCTGGGTAAAGCTGACAGGTATCTGACAAACTTTGGGAGGACTTTTGGAAATATGGACATTCAAAACCGCATTCATTTTGCACAGCATTTCAACCCAGGAGTTAAAACACCTAACAACTCTTTGACACTTTTGTCTTTTTGAGCCTCTGGGGTCTTGGACATCATACCAGATTTAGGAAAACAGTGAAAAAAGTTTCGACCAAACCATTTGAGCCTCTTGGAGGCCAAGCGCGCCCTCTGCTGGGATGTGAATTCTTTTCACTCACACATCTCAGAGCTTTTCTTACTGATAAAAGAGTGGGTGGGAGGGGATTCTAGCAGGAGAACTCTGGGAGTTGAAGTCCACATTATCTTAAGAGTTGCCAAGAGTGAGAAAAACTGAACTAGAGCAGCGGTCGCCAAACAGTGGGTCGGGGACCACTGGTGGCCCGTGAGAAAATTTTGGTGGTCCGCAGAGAAATGTCACATCCAAAGCAATTCATCCAGGCTGCGCGGGAACACAAGGCTACACCGCCCACATGGCCTGCAAGGCTTGGGGTCACTTGCATTGCAAACATGAGGTAGTGAGGGGAGGGGGGGGCAAGGACTAGTCCCATGTGCATCGCCTGGCCGCTAAGCTGCTTCTTTCGGCTTCTGCTTTTGGCTGCACGCAAGGAAAGCAGCAAGTCTTTTTCTCCCCCAAACTCCGCTAGAAATGAGTCTTTGGGACCCTGCAAGGCATCCTGCTCCAAGAAGTTGAGCCGGCACAAGTCTCACAAAGACTCATTTCTGGGGAGTTTGGGGGAGAGAAAGAAAGACTTCTGCTGCTTCTGCTGTTTTCCTTGCACGAAGCCAAAAGTCTCTCTCTCTCCCTCCCTCCCTGAGAAAGGAGCTGGAGATGATATCCTGCGATCCCAAATAAAGAATGATTGATCGGTAGGAAAACGGGGTGGGGAATTTTCCTGCAGACTTTTTGGGGGATTTTCCCAGTCTCTGGTCTGCAGGGTTTAAAATTATGAGTTTGGTGGTCCCTGAGATCCAAAAGGTTGGCGACCCCTGAACTAGAGTATAATACAGGTAATCCCCAACATACAACAATAGAGCCCAAAATTTCTGTCACTAAGGAAAGTGTGTTTAAGTGCCAGTGCTTTTAAGCGAATCACTGCAGTTAAAGTTAGTCACACCGTTGTGAAGTGAAGCTGAAAAGGAATCACACGATGTTGGGTATATGGATACACCAACCAGGTTTGGGTTGAATAAATATGTAAACCTAGGATTAAGTGTTTTGTAGCTTTAAGCACAAGAAACTGCAATGTCATTGTGGGTGCGGTTGCAGGCAGCAATATAGGTAGGAAGGGAAACGTAATAGACCCTGCTTCTGGATGCACCTGGTTCTGTTCCTGGTCTGCTGCCTGCTGTTTTGGAACGTCTGCTTGCTTTTGGAGGCTACTGTGCCAGATACCATTTCAACTGAACACAAAGACTGTTTGCTTGGTGAGCTGTGGATTCAGCGTTGTCTTTGAGAGAAAGGTATCGGGAGGAGAAAATTTACAAGCAGATAAAGACATTGTATTTACTGTTAATGGACTTGATAACTGGATAGATATACTGGATAATGATATATGGACTGAATGACACTTCTTAATCTCTGTGTGTATTAAATAACTATTTTAAAACCACAAACAGTGTTTTTGTCTCCAGTGTGTGTATACTCTTGGGCCCACTCTCTCTCTCATTTGCCTGCCTGGCTTGACTGCTGCTGCATACTCTGCTTGGGGGTTTATCCCCAAACACTAACACACGACACCCAGGATGCTGCAACCATCGTAAAAAACAACCAGAGCTGCCAAAACATCTGAATACGGACAACCATTTGTCTGAAATGGTATATATATATAGGGTTTCCTGTCTGAGTAGGGAGGGAGGGGGTTGGTCTAGAAGACCTCCAAGGTCCCTTCCAAATCTGGTATTCTGATCACATGACCATGGGGATGCTGCAATGGACCCAAGTGTCATAAATCACTTTTTTCAGTGTTGTTGCCGTTGCGGTCACTAAACGAATTGTTGTAAGCCGAGGACTACCTGTATAGTAGGATACAGAACAGAGTGGACATTGATGGACACCTGAGATGATGAGGGAGGCTCGTTCTGTGAAAAACTTCGCTCGAGTTATAAGAAAAGCAACGAAATTTAGTATATGCTGAAAAGTTAAAACTCACTCTCATTTTGGTTACAAATACATCACAAAGAAAGAAGATATGGAAACACCAATCCCACATCCAAGAACAATCCGTATACTGTTCCAAATAAATTTCCTATCACAAGTTTCAGTTTAAATCAGAAAAAGAAACCTGAGATAATAAAAAAAATTAAGAAATACAATCCATTTTTTTTCCCTGTGGGCCTCCATCAGGAAGGAGAAAATCGCAAATGCAAGGAGCGTTGCCAGAAAACATGGAAAAATGTGAATACAGAGGAATACTTAACTTTGGGGCTTGCTTCCCAGACAGACCATTATGCAGAGAGAGAGCAGAGCATGTTTTAAGTTCAGTGCTCGAATCGTCCTTCTTGCAAACACCACGGTGAAGAATAATACCAATGGCTGCATAAAGTACATTAAAATCCAAGGCACGGATTTACTTTGGCATCTTGTACGGTCACTGCTATTATCTAAAAAACAGGATTACTTTGGGCAGGGTGACACATTAAAAGAGAAAAATATTCTAGGCACTTGTGGAATACTGACCCATAAGGATTCACTTCAAGACACTGGCTTCAAAGAGTCCTTTTGAACAATTTATTAATTTGTCTGCTTTTTTTTTTTACAAGTTTAGAAAAAGAAACCCAGGATTTTCCCTCCTGTATGCTTTCGCCTCGCTTCCTCGTGATCCATGATGCCAGCTGATGTGGTCAGGACAATGTACCTGTTAAGAGAGGAGGAAGATGCTGGTGGAAAATGTGGCCTGCAGTTTATTCCTGAGCAACAGAATCATGACTGTCTTGGAAGAGCCGATCCCACTAGAAGAGTAAAGGTCTGCCGCAGGGCTGCATACATTCACTGGTGCCCATGTTGCAGACCCTCTAATGCACCCCAGTTGGTGGTGCCTTAAATGGGACCGCAAATTCTTCTTTGGCAATTAAATTCTCCAATTTTGGCCGGGGAAAAAAAGTCAAAACAGATACATAAAGTATGTACAATGTGAGCTTATGCACCAAAGACAAATTCCTTACGTGTTCAGTCACACTTGGCCAATAAAGTATTCTAATTCTATTCTATTCTACTCTAATTCTATTCCGTATTCTATTCTGTACTGTATTCCGTATTTTATTCTAATTCTATTCCGTATTCTATTCCGTATTCTATTCTATTCTATTCTAATTCTAATTCTATTCCGTATTCTATTCTATTCTATTCTATTCTAATTCTAATCCGTATTCTATTCTATTCTATTCCATTGCTTTTGATAAGCTTTAAGGGATCTAACTGCACATTATTCATTTGTACCCATCTTTTATTTTTACAATTCAAAGCAGTGAACTTATCTAACAAAACTTCCTCTTAATTTCCGCACAACAACCCTGTGAGGTGGGTTGGGTTGGGTTGAGAGAAGAACTGGCTCAAAGTCACCCAGCTACTGTGCCTTTGGTGGGACTAGAACTCAAAGAGTTTCCTGGTGATTGGCCCAAAGTCACCCAGCTGCTTTTGAGCCTAAACCGGCTCTCAATTTATTCCCAATATAAGCTCAATTTTGCCCATTGCCCCTGTAACTCCAACCATCAGACACACCTGCTTCTGCCCCATGCAGAAGATTTTTTGTAAACGACAAAAAAATCAGTAAACGACAGCCAACCCCTTAAAACAGCCAAACACCCTTGCTCATTCTAGCAGTGCAAACCAACTGCATATTTTAAATTTGTGAAACCCATTTCTTGCAAGCGTGAGAGTAAAATAAGCGGAAAGCTTGCTTGCCCATTCCAGTTCTGCCAACGGTGCATGACTAGAGCTGAGTTGGAACAGGCCAGCTTTAACGGAGCTCAGCTCGAATTTAAAACGGAAAGCTTGAGACGTGTTATAACCACACAGAGTCGACACCGGTTTTTAAGACGCCAAGAGTGCCATTTTTGCTCTCCGTGTAGTTTTCACCGGAAGCCGGAACGACGACAGGAGCAGCAAAAGGCAGGGTTCAAAACAACACAGACCACCTTCCCATCTTTCGGCATTTTCGTTTCTCTCAACGAATTTGGGTTGTTGGTTTTTTCTGACTCATGCTTACCCGAACTGACGTGAAGGCAGCAGGTTGTTCTGCCACTTTTCCAAGTCTTTCAGCTGGACATCGAATCTGGGACTGATCACACCACACTGTCCAAACAGGAAGAAAGCAAGGAAGATGATTGATACTGGGGCCCGCGTTGTGTGGCTTACGCCATTGTTTTGTACTGTCCTGTGAAGGCTGTGGCCTCAGAGCTAGGCTTAAACCCTCACACAGCCTTTCCCTCTTCTGCCCTACCCAGATGCTTTCAGAAGCAGTTGTAACGCAACGGACAAGGGGACGGAAAAAGGGCAGAAATGGAGCACGTATACCTGGAAAGTTATTTATTTATGGATATAAATATAACGGAACAAATTCAGGTTTGGGCCTTAAGGCGGCAACACAGGTAAGCAACGATGCTGGTTACTTGGCACATGTTTAACACCACTACAGCCTAAGATGCACTGGTTGCCATTGTACCTTAGGGTGCAAGTCAAGGTGCTGGGGTTCACCTGTAAAGCTCTCTATAGCTTGGGACCAGGTTACTGAGGGCCTGGCTTTCCCCAGTTGTTTATACCTGTCAAACCGGTCCAGCAAGGTGGGCATGCTTTGGGTCCTGTCAACTAAGGGATGCCAGGTGGTGTGGAACCAGGTGTGCCCTTTCTGCCATAATGGAACATTTGCCTTCCGACAATGTGCCCAGACTTGTGTGGGAAACGACTGTGTCTTTTGGCTGTATTTGAATTCTTTTTACAGGGAACAAACCTGTGTCTATCACTAGTAAAAACCGTGTTCTTTATTTCAAGGGCCATTCCAAAATATTTAGATCAGAGGGGCAATGACTTAACTATGAACGTATTCTGATTGTTTCTATCTGTATTCCTTTTATATTTTTGATAGGGTCAAATGACTAGATCGATAACGTTTCTATTCTACTAACTTTGGACTGTGACATTGCACTCAACTGCTGTGTTTTGATTTTCGTACTCGTGCAGTTTTTAGTTGGCATTGTTCGCTGAGCAGAATCACTTGTTACAATGGGCAACTATACTATTACTCAACTGGTGTGAGTAAATAAATTTTTAAAATGTATTTATTTGCTGTGGTGCTCGAGAGTATGACAAGAAACAATGGCCTCAGCAGGATTCAAACTCAAAATCAGAATGAATGTCTTGAATAACGAGAGAGATTAAGAGCAGTACATGCTGCCTCCTGGACCGGTAGGTACTCTGGAGAAAACTGGTTTTCTTAAAAAAAAAAAAAAAAGATTTGGACAGACACTTGACTGCAATGATCTGAAGCAGGGGTCCCCAAACTTGGCGACTTTAAGACTTGTGGACTTCCAACTCCCAGACTTCTCCAGCCAGCTTTGCAATTCTGGCAGTTGGAAGTCCACAAACCTTAAAGTTGCCAAGTTTGAAGACCTCTGATCTGTGGATTCCTGCGTCGGTAGAAAATCCTTTCCAATTCTGACTCTTTCATCCCCACTCAGCAATTATTGGGGGAGGGGGGGGGAGAACCCAGACATCACTCAGCCACCCACACCAACTCACAACAGAGTTCTACACAGCCACTGAATATTAATGGGATATGAAATTACAAAGCCCCATGACTCTAGCTCTAAAGATGCTGGATTTAAAGCAGAATAAACTCTGCAACACCCTGACACCGAGAAGAAAACTGTGAAGCACAAAATCCTTTTGTTTCTAGCTTTAAGCACGCAGCTGTGCTTTTAGCCTCCTAAATCCACAAGCGAGCCGGCCTGCAATTTGAGGGAAAGGAACCATGCGACACCAAGGAGACTTAAAAGCTACTGCAGGACTGTTTGCTTCTGTCAGGAGAGAGAATCAGAGGGGGCATTTACTGGCATGATAGCTGCCCTTCTCTCTCTCACTCCGGGCAGCCTGAAAAGCAATTAACCTTCCCTTCCCAAGGCCAACCCTGCAGGGGTATGGAAGGCGTCTCTTAGGAACTGGGCACTGACCCAAACTCTGCTCTCCCTCCAGGCCCAAGCGTGGCCAAAAGGAGGGTTCAGAATTGCAGAGGCGTCTGTTGCAATCCCGGAGAATCGTTCTGGCAAGAAAAGCGAATGGCTCAACAGTTAAAGATGCTGAGCTTTTCGGCTGGAAAGCGGGCAGCCCAGGTTCGAGACCCGAGTGCCGCATGATGGCTTGAGCTCCCCGAAAGCCTGCCGACGCAAGCAGGTAAACAGGTACCACCACTTCAGTGGGAAAGTAACAGCACCTTGGTATACAGTCATGCCGTCCACATGAGCAGGGATGTGTCTTTGGACCAGGCTGGCTCCCTTAGCTAAGAAACAGAGATCAGCACTGCCCCCTAGAGTCAGGTATGACTGGACGGGGGAAATGTTTTACCTTGATACTGCAATCCTGGTGGTTCGTCTGGGCAAGAAAAGATAAGGGGGCCGCAACCTCCTGCTTGCACCAACAGAAAAGGTCACGCAGGGGCTAAAGGAGCTTGCTGGGTGGGCCTCACAGCCTAAAAAGCACCTGGACTCCCGTTTCCCCTGGCGAGCAAGACCCCACACTCTCCATTTCTGACTCGAGGAACCTATAGCCGAAGACTTCCAACGCGAAATGAAGGATCCGTAAGAACGCAAATAAAATCTTTCCAACACCAGGAAGAAACAGCTCGGTGCTAGGTTTAAAACTAGCTCGGGATCACAAAGCAGCAGGATTTTCATGGGATTCTTCCTCTAGCAAACTATTTAAAACAACAACAACAACAGGAGGGGAAAAGAGGAGCAGTTACGACCGCCTCAAATCGTTTTATGATTTTCCTTTTGCTCTGAAAAAAAGGATTTTGCTTTGAGGGCTTAATTTGGGTGATAAGAGCCCACAGCTACAGCCGCATTGGAGCTACCCCAGTTAAGAATTCAGAACTTTGTGACAAATGAACAGAATGAATTTTGATTTGTACCAAAATGAGTAGAACCGAGGCAAGTCAGTAACCGGCACTGAATTTGACAAGACTAGCAATTCTCCAGGAAGAGAGCCAAACCAACGTTGGGAGAAACGCTATTTGTTTCAACCTTCTTAAAAACAAATCTCTGACACAAACAGGGCTGTCTAAGAAAGTCTTCCAGTTATGAGAACCTCAATCAAAAAAAAAAAAAAAAGAGGGGGGGGAGAGGCTGGCTTCTACAAGTTATATCAAAAAACCTATCCAGAATTCATGTTTGCTCATGCACAGGAGAAGCAAGAATGCCTGCCTAGATTAAACAGATTTATCATTCTAATAATCCAGCACAGAACTCAAAATTTATCGCTGGAGCTGTTTCATTTGACCTTTATGGGAAACTAGAAAAAGCAATCACTCTCTTGTATCTGACTCAGAAAATGCAGAATTCACAGATGAAGTTGTGAAAGATTTGTCTCCTAACCGTCCTGGGCATTTTCCATATAAACACGTCGCCTCAGTTTTTCTGGGCAGTCCGTTACTTAGTAAAAGAAACGTTTCCAATAATCCTGTGAAACCCAGCCACCTTTCTCCAGGCTTCAGAGCTGTTAAAGACCCTGGGATTTTTTTTCCCCAGGGTCTCTGGTCCGCGGGATTTAAAATGATGAGTTTGGTGGTCCCTGAGATCCAAAAGGTTGGCGACTCCTTGTCTAAGGAACGTTAGGAACCGATGCTATGAATCCAGGCTAGGAGATCTGTTCTTGCCTTTTGCTAATGGCAAGAAGCCACACAATTTTACACAGGTAATTTATGGAAGTGGCTATAACATGCCCTTCACCTTGCTGTCCATGTCTTCCCTGTGGGTGTGATTTGTTCTTTTACATCTGAAGGTGAGGTGGACCTACTGTTCTTTTAGGTCAAAGCACAAGGGCAAAAAGCTTCAAATCCAATGGACCACATTGTAGTGATACACAGACAAAAAAATTATGCTTCACGGTAGGACGTTTCCTCCAAGTGAAATAAATTTAAAGACGGGGAAAAAATGTACTTCTTCCCAACATTCAATCCGAACCTAGCTTGAATTCCTACCTTGTTAAGCCTGCCTGTGAGATTCACAACAATTTTCCCAGCTCTGTGGTCATCGATGATCTCAAATTCACCTATGTAGCCTGTGAATGAAAGAACACGCAATCCGTTACTTTCAACGTCTTCATCCAAATTGAGAACTTGAAACACTGGGTACTATTTGGGGTGAAACAAACCCAATCATTTATCATTTCACAGTAGCATTACTCAAGGTAGCGAGATCCGCTCTAGAGTACAGGCTAATACCAGATTGGGTCATGAAGCCCAAACGTATGAAGAACGCCTTCAGGATTTGGGTTTGTCTAAAGAAAAGAGGAATTAAGGGCGACATGATAGCAGTATTCCAGTATTTGAGGGGCTGCCACAAAGAAGAGGGAGTCAAATTATTCTCCAAAGCACCAGAAGGCAGGACAAGAAACAAGGGTTGGAAACTAACAGCGAGGACAATTAACCAGTGTAATAGCTTGCCTTCAGAAATCGTGGGAGGTTTTTAAGAAGAGACTAGACAGTCACTTATCTGAAATAGTATAGCTTCTCCTGGACTAGAAGAGCTCCAAGGTCCCTTCCAGCTCTATTCTATTCTAAGGTCTAAGTTCAAATCCCTGCTTGTAAGACCTCATAAAAGATCACCAGAAATTTAATAACTTACAGATACCAATACAGGTAGTTTCTTGACTTACAGCCACTCATTTAACAACTGTTCAAAGCTACACAGGCGCTGAAAAAAGCGATTTACAATTTCGTCCTTGCACTTATGATCAGCGCAGCATCTCTACATGATCAAAAATTTGGGTGCCTGGCAACTGGCAGATATTTACGATGGTTGCATCCTCCTGAGGACACGTGATCGCCATTTGAGGGAAGCCGGATTCACTTAACAAGGGGATGATTCAATAAACAGCTATGACAAAAGCAGTTGTAAAATTAGGGGCAACCCATTTAACAAGTTCAGTCTTCCCAACCCAAAGGTTGACGATTTCGGACCATTTCTAACAGCCCCAGGTAACATACAAGGGCGAGTATTTTCCCAAATGTTACACGTTGGAGTTTGAACGCCCTGGTACTTACCGTGTTTCATCATCACAGTTAAGAACCGGACGATTACTTTGGAGCATGGCCTGATGAGAACTTGACGCTTTCCACGTTTCTCTGCATTGTTGATGCTTTTAAGAGCATCGGCCAGAACATTCATGCGCACCATGATGCCTGCGAAAATAACACAAAAACATTTTGAGAGCTTGTTAGGATTCTGGAATTGCAAGTGATGCTTTTAACACAGGGTGGCCTGAGGATCTCTGGGATCCCCCAAGACCCTCTCAAGGTTTTACGAATTCAAAATTATTTGCCAGCCTCCACTGATCATTAAAATCCCATTGAACAACCGCTGAGAAGCAGTAGTGACAGCAAATGCATGCATACACACACACACACACACACAAAATAAACTCTTTTTTTTGGGGGGGGGGGTCCTCCATAATTTTTAAAAGTGGAAAGGATTCCTGAGAGAAAAAAAGTTTAAGAAACATTGGTTTAATAGGTTGTTTACTTATGTTCAGCGCAACACAAAACATTGCAAGATTATTCAAAATTCCACTATTTGGACACATGAAGGCTTTAGAAATGTTTAGTTTACTTTATTGTCATTGCACCTCGTACAACAAAATCAAACACCATCTTCAGTGCGCATCATGACCGTGAAAATAAACACAAACACACATCCTTCACCCTCCACACATTGAAGCGAAAACCCGCAACACCGCACCAACACTGCACTATACAGCAGAATGCAAAAGAGCTACTGGCCTGGGATAGAAGTTGTTTTTCAGCCGATTTGTCCTTGTTTTTATGACAGGTGATACAATGAATTACATGCATTACCTGTGTAACCCCCAAGAAGTATGTTGCAGACAACAAAGCAGTGAATTCAGCAGATACATTAAATGTAATTTCATTAATAGTGTTGAATGAAGGAGATGGTCCTGTTTGGGTTGCAACTTTTCACACTAAGGCCCAGCTAACTTACAAAACAAATTGGCTTTCTTCCAAATTCAGCAAATAATATATTATAAAGCTCAAAAGAGTAAACATGAAAAAAAAACAGAACTCCTAAGAAAATATTTGATTCATTTGTAAATTCAAATTCAATTGTCAGAGGAAACATCCAAAGAATGTTACAGATCTATCAAGCCAAATCACCTCTCTTCAAAGTAGTTGCTCTTTCATCTGATTCCTTTTAAAATGAATAATTCTATCTATAAATTTTTATGTTCAGCATCTAAAGTACTGATTTTACACTAAACTAATTTAGCTCAAGTTAAGGATACAGTTACACAAATGTTAATGGAACAAGTTTGCTTATTTTCTCCAGTTAAAAATTTGGCTGGCTTGTACCCAGAATTACTAAAAAACTAAAAAGATAAAATGCTATTAAAAAAAAAACTTAAAAAAAGCTCCATTAGAAAGTTTCAAGTCATCACACAAAAATAACCCAAAGTGTGAATATCTATTTGCAAAAATTGCATCAATCCAGGATAAAATATAAATTTAGCTCACTCTTGAGAGCTATTTAAATCCAGCTGTTATTTCAGCAATCGTAAGTTTGAATGCAAAAAAGCTTTCAGATCTTGACTTCACAAGGTATTCCGTGATCTTGTTCATCTCCTTTTAATACAGATCAAAGAAAACTTTTCAAACACAAACCAAGATGACTTAAAACAGAACTGTAAAACTTTTTCTTGGCAGATATTATCAGAAACTTGCTGTGAATTCCATGAATTGACAATAAAATGCAGGAATTAAACTGGTAATATCTTCCCGAAACATATACTAAATACTAAATTTAGAAAGGAGACAGAATTTTCTCCTTATCCAGAGGCATGAGCTGGTTTTGCCTATGTTGAAAGCTATTATTTTGCATATATACACAATGTTTAATTTGTTTTGGGGATAAAAGTTGCAACTGAGAAGTTCTGGTCCCTATTCTTTGGATTTATCCCCCTAAATTTCTGCAAAAAGCTTAAAGCCAAACAAAGCATCATGGGCAGTTGGTATATTCTTCTAGAGCACAGATCATCCCAAGCTAGTATCTCTCCCAGATGCATGTCGCTACAAGTTCCCACACTACAACCACCATGCAACTTGGGAATCCTGGGAGGAATTGTCCAGCAATACATTTGGAGAACACACAATATGGATCCATGCGCAGGGTTGACATGGATGTAAGCGGAATTTCAGCACTGGGAGGCACAAGACTCCTAAATATGATTTGCAAAAAACCCCAAAAACAAATAGCTGGGGTTTCCAATAGGCTTTTGCCTTGAATTGGCCAAGTCAACCTCTAAACCCTCACCTGTAGCATGGAAGAGATGCGCCATTAATTCTGCCCTCAACCATCATGGCTACACAGGACGGGCACTTGAGGCAACAAGTGGGCCCGCCCACGTTGCAAACTTGAGACACGGGTTTAAGGGGGGGGGAAACCGGACTGCCCCCCCCCACACACTCTGCAAGAGATCCAAGGCGTCTCAGCCCCAATGCCAACCCAGGCTCTGCTGCAGCCCAATCCCAGCCTCCTGGCCCAAATTAGTACAGGGGCTTCCCTAACCAGGATTGCCTTTTTCCAGCACCCCACCACTACCAAGCAAGGTTCTAAAGGGGGCTGCTTTGCACTGCCCTGCATTAGCCTGTTCCCACGACTGATTAACCAGGGTATCCTGGGTTCACACGACACGTGTTTAACCTAGTGGGAAGGGAACTGGGCTCTGAAGTTCGGGCCAGCCCCTCTCGGCCTCCGTCCTTCCTTCCCGACTGAGGCCTGTCCCGCCGACTCACGCCCAGCTCGCTTCCCCAGCTTGCCTTCCAAGCTCCACTCCCAGGCATTCCTCTCCTAACCAGACGCCGCCGCCGCCACCACCACTACCAACCCCCGGCCGGGGTTCAGGCCGGCGCCGCCAGGGCCAGGAATCGCGCGGCTCCCTCCGAAGGAGCCAAACGAATCGAGCGGAGCCCCGGCTTGCCGGAACCGGCGTTCAAACGGCCCGAAGGGGCGGGATGGAGGCGATGCGGGACAGATCTTAGCGGGGACCCAAAGCGTCTCGTTACTCACCAGGGCAGCAAGATGGCGGAAAAAGGAAGGCGGCCGCGCGCGCGCGGGGTATTATGGGAATTCGAGGCGGCAAGATAACCAGGAAGGAGCGGATACAGAGAGAACTTCCGGATCTAGTCCTCCCGCGTCGGGAATTGAGACTATAGAGAATGGAAAGGCAAGAGGGGTCGATCTTTGTTTTGGCTGTGAGTTGTTTTCAGTTCTGTCTCAAAGCCACAAACTCCAATTAAGGAAATTTGCGTGGGGGGGGGGGGGGGGAATTGCAATACACAACATAGCTGCCCTGCGCCCCACAAAGCAGTGCAGAATTCTAATAATTCCTATGATACGAGTTACGTTGCCCTGGGAATATAAACTTCAGGTTGACTTACAGTGTGAATGGTTAGACTGTACCTTGCATTAATCTTAAACCAAGATTTCTCAAACGTGGCAACTTTAAGATAGGCAGATTTCAATCACTATTTCAAAAAGTGAGAAATCACAAATGAATTGTTCTTGCAGAACCTCGGTAGCCACGTCAGCAGAACCATGGTTTATTCAATCTAAACGTTATAATTTTGCAATCCATGTGGATTGGGGATATGCAACAGGCTAAATAAATGTGAGGTTGGCTTCTTGATTGTTTCTGTTGGGTTTGTAGCATTCATGTTCAAATGCCCCATTTTTTCTCCCCACTTCATGGTTGTTTCCTTAATTTAAACTCAAAGTTTCCTTCCTGTGAATGCTGTTACATGACCTCAGCCAGTTGTTGTATACTCAACAAATCATGGCAAAGTCCAGCCACCAACTGAAGTTGGTATTATCCGGTATCAGGAAACTGAGAAGAAAACTCTGCTTTTACAACCAAGCTTCGAGAATACAACAGATTCAGCTTAAAAGAATAAAAATCAGATGTTTATATAAACCTATTGTTATCTAATTTGGTGCTGAAGGCCGAGGTTCCTATTATTGAAAATATGCCTTTCTTTCCTCCAGGAGCATTTGGTGATGTATCCAGTGCTCTTTTCATCTATAACAGGGGTCTCCAACCTTGGCCACTTTAATAAGACTTGTGGACTTCAACTCCCAGAATTCCTCAGACAGCGAAGCAAAGGTGGCTGAGGAATTGTGGCAGTTGAAGTCCACAAGTCTTAAAGTGGCCAAGGTTGGAGACCCCTGATCTATAACATACTTCAGTGAAGTGGGTTGGACTGAGATGAAACTAGTGAACATCTGATGACCTTCTATGGTTAGAACCCTGTAACAATATACAATCAAATGGCTGGCTGTTGTTTTATTACACCTATCTCCTGATGCCACCACACCACAGACCATAGTTTATAGACAATAGATTTTTAACCTTCCAAGGTCCAACCGTTATTTTTAAAATGCTGCATGAATTAATGGTTATTGACCTATTGATGTTGACCTGATTGCTTCTCCTCTAAGAAGCTTCTTCAGCTGACTGGATGATAGGGAAGGGAAGGGCTTATACTCCTTGCAGACAGCGCATTCTCTGAAAGGATTATAAAGCCTTCCCTTCCCCACCGTCCAGTCAGAACTGAAGAAGCTTCTTGGATGAGGAGCGAAACGTCTTCAAAGAAAAACCAGAAAGTCCAGCTGCCTCTTGAAAAAGCACCTTTGGGATGTTTAAAAGTAAGAGGATTTTAATCCAGATAGATCTTCTCTCAGCTTAACCTCACCTCGTGTTCAAAGTGCAATTATAGAAATAAGCTGGGGTTCAACGTTATTGACACGCAAATGGGGTCCCAGCTTGTCAACAAGTTAAGAAAAAGTGAGAAGAAACTGAAACCATCAAAATCTCAGCAGCTTACTATCTTGAGAATAGCAGACATGTTTTGCTGGAGGTTTTCTGGATAATTATTAAATAACTAGAGACCAGGGCTGGCGCTGACCTTCAATAAAACATTACTCACAATTTTTCTTCTGTTCACATTTTTATTCAACTTTTAGTTTCCTAAATATACATTAAATTACACATTTAACACAAAGGAAAGGACAAAAAAATGACCAGCACGCAAAACTTATCCTAAAACTTCCACTCCACATGTATCTGTCCTATTTTTACACATGGCAAACTTTCCTCTTAATATTGTTTTGCTCATTTAAAACACTGCAGTACAATCCAAGAAAAAATATAAAAAAGAGAAAGGGAGTGACAGTAAACAGTGTGTTTGCTTTAAAAAAGAAAAACTTAAAACGACTTCTTTGAATCAATTTATCAAAACTTTTTAAAATTATTTGCTTGTGCTTCTGCTTCTGTATGTTTTACTACAGTGAAAGGGCACACATTTTAGAGAAATAAATTGCTCTGACAGGGTTCTAACCTCAAAGTCTTCACCCAACAAAGAGATAGCCTTTTTTAAACTATAGGAACGTTGTAGTATTTAAAGATCTAACCAATATCTAAAAGTAAAGATGGCGCTAATAAAAGTGAAAGTCATTCCTACAATGTTGAACCAATTTGGCATCCTCCAACGGGAGGTTTCAATTGGTTTGGAGAAGCAGTTTGGCCAAGTTTAATTTCTCCAAAATTAAATTCTAATACCACAAACCCCTGCGAGTTTGGGATCAGATTGATATTAATGTATCTGGAGCTCTGTGTAGCACTAAATAGGTTCTAATAACTGTAAGTTATTACAACTGATTGAATTAATCTCTCAACCAAATACCTGCATTGCCGACATATAGGTAATAATTACTTTGTGCCTCTTTCTCATCCCACACTTACCAATCAAACAACTGGTATTACAAGCAAAAGCAAATTTTGCCATGGAAAAAAAGAATCAAGATAAATTAGATGTGCTTAAGCCCAGCAGGGAATAATACTTTTGACTGATCTGGCCAGTTTTTGTGTTGATCACCCAATCACTATGATATATTAGTATTAATTCTAGGCAAAGAAAGGAAAAACACAGTCCAACTTATCCAGCCAAACTAATTTTGTCCAAAGCAGATTTTTAAAAATGTGCTCCTTTGTTTAATAAAAACTGTAAAAATTTATACTGATGGCTTATTGAACTGAAGGAGACGAATAATACAATAATGTAAAAGCATTAAATTTCTTAACAACCCTTATTTCGCTGGAAAGAAAGCCTAAAAGTAATTTTTTTTAAAAAAAACCCAAAGCATTAAGGTTCCTCAAGACTGGTTTCAAACTGAGAATAATACTGTTCATTCATTTGAAATTATGAAATTTAAATTCATTTTGGAGACAAATAGGATATAGTTATTTTAATTCAAAATAAAAGCAAAGTAGCAATAAGAAAACAGAGATAAAAATGTTCACAAGATGGACGCATCAAGTATTTTCAACACATTTTTTTAGACTGTTTGTTAAAATCATCAGAACACGATATTAAAATTACAGCAATTTAAACGAAAACAAAAAAAAAGGTGATTTCACTTCCTAAGCCCGTTTCCTGTATAGTTCCAGTGCAATACATTTTATTACGGAGATAGGGATTAACTTGGATGCACAATTCTAGCAGCCTTGCTTATTCAAATCACTGTAATCCACAATTTAAAATATGAATTGTATTCATTTAATCTGGAGGATATTGCCAAATAAATCTGGTCAGTCCAGTGTGTGTCCATAAAACACTTAGAAGGAATACAGAAGTTTAGCTATCTTTTACACCAAAAATATTAACACAGGATAGCTCCATACAATTATAATCAGGTTACCATCACCAATAATTACTCATCTCACAGCCTTAGTACACGAGAGATTGCTAATCACACTTACTAGAAGAATGATGGTCTGTGTTAACACACTGTGTTTAATGTGTGGTTTGGGGACCACGTGGTTGGGAGTTGTACAGCAGAAAAAGGTCCCACGTTAAAAGTTAAAAAGGCAATGGCTGGTATAAGCACTTCTATACTATTAAATACGCAGCGAGTCATCTGAATTGTTCCCAGAACAGAATTATATATTTGGGTGAGGGAGCAAGCAACACTTCATTCATTTTTCTTTTCTTTGTGCTTCAGGAGTTTGTTGACCTCTCTTTTTGCCATTCCAGCGTATTTGGAAATTACCCCGTGTTTGTTTAATCCAGGGAACAACAAGACGAAGCACACTTGAAAAAAGCAAAATAAAAACAAGTTATCATTTTAGTCTTTTTCTGTTCCAAGTTTGTTTAAATTTGCTAATTTAAAATGTTCCTACTGTCTGGCAGAGGAAATCTATTTTTTCCAGACCTGTCAGTTTTATCTATTGCTTACCAATAAGATAAGTGAGGAAGAGGTTATGAACTTGCTGTCCTATCCACGCGATCACAGCTAACAAACACACCATTGTTGTGAAGTACTAGAAGAGAGATCATACATAATCATTATAAAATACAGCTTTTGAAGGTATTATAAAATGCTTTAGTCATTCAGCATTCCCTCCTGGCTGTTAACAAACAAAATAGTTCACTGGTTCATTCTGGATAAGATTTTATTTTATGTACTGATTCAAAGATATGACAATCTGATTATCCTCAAAGCATAAATGCATAAAAATGCTGTCAGGGAATCCTGGTAAAGTTACTGCTATCACGTAAAAGCAAAATATAATTATTAGATGGTAGTCACACTTTTGAAAGTCTGCATTTCAAAACTTACATTTAAATAAAGATGGACACTCATTAAATAAATGCATTCAGGTGCAGCCTTTGATTTTATTGTTCCAAAGGTGCTTTTTCAAAAGGCCTTGAAAAAGTTTTGCTTCTCATCCAAAGATGCTTCTTCACCTCTGTTCAGTTTTTCCCGAACTGGAGAAGTTTCTTGGTTGAGAGGAACTGAACGGAAGTTTTTAGATGAAGTTAGAACTGAAGAAGCTTCTTGGATGAGAAGCAAAATGTCTTCAAGGAAAAATAAAGGAAGTCCGGTTGCCTTTTCAAAAAAAACATTTTTGGGACAACCATGACCTGGATGACTGATAATTTCCAGAGACTTTGATTTTAGTACACAGACTGAATCTAGACTGAGTTAATCATGTTACGGGATTGAAACAACTTTGAAAAACAAATCAATTACCATTTTAGGCTTTTCTTCCTTAAACGTGAAGAGGCGTTTCCACCAGCCGATGATTTTGCGGCGTGTTTTCACCAGGTTGCTGCAGATTTCATGGAA